GTTAAAAGCAACGTTAAAAGATAAAATCAATTCGAGATGTCCTTTAAATCTCGCAAATCACAAGTCACTCACAAGTCACAAAAGTTTCAAAAGTCATTAGAAAAAAGTCACATCCGACTAACAAAGGCCATAAACTACAAAAATTCTCCTTCACCCCACAAATATGATGAACTCAATTATGAGCTTGAGTTTCATCATCACTAGCAACAGGAGGTTGACGTCCGGCATACAGTCCACCTAAATTTGATGATGATGCCAAGCCATCGTCATTAGAGTCATCCTTCTCCTCCACATAAAAACCTTTTCCCTTGTTTCTCTACATCCTCCTCTTCCTCCAAGATCGTCATCCTCCTCCTCTTCTGTGCCTTCTTCTTCCCTTCTCCTTTCCCTTTTCCTGGGCCACTTCCTTCGCCTTCCTCTTTGTTTGGGATCTAGTAGCTCTCACATGGCTCGATGCCAAACCAGCCGCCTCTTCCAGTTGGGTCCATGTCAAGATCTCTCTTGTATACAGGCTCATCCTCGGCATTGGGTTCGACCAACCACTCGCTTGTTGGATCTAAATCTTTCACAAGTATGGGATCTTCAATTTGAAACCTGTCTAGATGGCGCTTCTTCAGCCTTTGATTGTATTGAATGAAAATAAGGTCGTTTAGTCTCATCTGTTCGAGTCTATTTATCTTCTTTGTATGTACTTATTTCATAGTATACCATTTCCATATTACAATTCTTTACTTTATAAAAAAGTATCGATAAAATTATTGTTGTAAATTGATAGGGAATGAGGCTGAGGGTAAATAAAATATTCACCATCTCGAAGGTGCTGAACTTGTGCTCGCAGCTGGACGATGTACAAGTCAAGTTCAATATCTGTTGTGCCATCTTTTGCAAGTTGGGGCCAGCTTGTGCATGGTTGGCCCACCAAGAGGCTATAATACATTTAACAATAAAAATTAGAGTACATATATCTATGTAATTTAGAACTTAGCAAATTGAAATGATAAATATATCTTCAACTTACATGGGTATATCTTTGTCCTTTGCCTGACTGCAATGTCCGTCCCAAGTGTCGCCATTGAATAACGGTATAAGTCAAGTTCCATGGACACTTTGTTTTGGACATTTGAGTCGGGGTGGAGCCTTACATTCTCATTGAATGCGACCATGATAGAATCCCTTCTCTCTATCTCAGGATATGTAAAGAAATAGGATTGGGAAATACCCTGCTAAGTGTATGGGTCTCTCCAAATGCGGATCCCATTTGCCATAAACAATTTTCAAGATGGGGCCATATCTTTTGTCATTTTACTTGAAGTTATACTTGATTTCTTCTTTGGCAACCTCCATTGCTTTGAAAATATGTCCCATTGTCTGTTCCCTTTTGCTATCAACAAGGTGAAGCACTTTCACAAGTGGCCCAAACATATGAAAGCAAAAACTAAACCCACTCGAAAACCTGGTTGACATGAAAATGTCATAAACCTTTTTTCCCTTGGCCTCCAAAGACCACTTGCTCCCCATCCATGTATCAGATACAAACATGGTTCGAAGCTTGTCCTTTTGTTTATTCAAAGAACCTAGAGACAAGAATGAGGTGGCAAACCTGGTGACCCCCGGCCTCACCAAGTCAGTCCCACCTGTAAATTCCCTCATCATTGCCAAAACATGGGTGTGCCTATAAATGAAAATTGTTATGGCTTTGGCTTTTCTAGTATCTCATGCTCAGATTTCTTTTCACCAATCTTTTCAAGCATGAGATCTATCCTGTGAGCCGCGTAAGGCGTTTAGAAAATGTGTGGCTTTGAAATCTCCAATAATCTAGCAACAACTATATTGGCCTTAGTCATTTCTGTGACAACCTGCACAACATTTGCCGCACCTTCCTCTTCAATGCACTGATTCACAATACCGTATATGAAGGGCGCATTATGAATCATATTGGATGCGTCAATGGACTTCAAAAAGACAGATCCCATGGGGCAATTAACTAATAAGTTCATGACATTCCTAGACCTCCTATCAGTCCACATATCTATCATAATAGTCACCCCACATCTGCCCTAAGCATCCTTGTGGGACTTCAGGTAGTCGTGTGTTAATTCCACCTCTTTCCTCAACAAAAGCCTCTTGAGCTCATAAGGTGTAGGAGGCTTATATCCTAGGCCAAATTGCCCCACTGCCTCAAACATGGCAATAAAGTTCTTTAAAGCGGTAGTGTTAAATGGTAGACTCACTTGAAAGTACCTTCTAGCCACATATTGATTCACCCTTTTTCTCTCCTGCTTCTTTAGAGTACTATCTAAAATAGTCTGTACCAGTTCTCGTTAGCGAACAACCACATTGGGATCGGGATGCAGAAAGAATGTATCAAGAGGCCCTCTTGGTTGAGGTTTCTTATTCCCAATGGTAACAGGTCTACTTATGGAGGCTCCTTCCACTTCATCTTCATCATATTCAGGTATGCCACAAATATTTATATAGGTCCTCACGTCTTCATATCCCTTATTGACCTGTTGTTTCTTCTTTTGGACCCCTTGTATGTTCTCCAACGTCTCTTTCCTGACCTCTGCAGGGACTTGGGTACATCATGCCGCATCCCTTTTTATACCGGCCAAATGCTTTTTCAATCTATTAATGCCAATATTGTACTCGTTTTTGCAAAACTTGCAACCTACTCTATTCTTGTCAATAGGGTTTGGACAATATGCATATTTCCAACCCGGATCAGTTTGTTTACTTGAAGCCAAGGAAGACATTTCACCTACAACCTTTATCTATCAAGTATCAACTTAACACCTAAGCTTGAAAATTACACAAAAACTAGGCCAAACTTGAAAAAATTAGACAATCGTCATCTAAAAATTACGAATATGAATTGAAGTAAAAATAGTAGACATTGACCCTTTAATATCTTGGGTTCTTATTAAGCCAAAAAATAAATCTAGGTAAAACATGCACAACAAAATTGCAATGATATAACACAAAATCGAAAAAAAATATCACACATGCAATTAGTTAATAAGCATTAAGCAAATATTAAACTAACTAATAAAAAAATTATGGTTTATGAATCATAAATCGAAAAAACATATTGCACATGCAATTATTTAATAAGCATGAGGCATTTATGAACTAACTTAAAAAAAAATTATGGTTTATGAATCGTAAACAAAAAAAATATTACACATGCAATTATTTAATAAGCATTAAGAAATTATTAAACTAACTAATAAAAAAAAATTACGGTTTATGAATCATACAAGTAAATTCATGTATAAAAGTTCTTTCAAAAAACAATTCATGTATAAAACCAAAAAAAAAGAAGTAAAAAACAATATTCAATCGGTTTGGGGGCGACTTTTTTATTAAATTGTTTTCTCAAAGACCCAAACTACATATCAAAATGGGAAAATAATAATCCAAATAGACGATAACATATCAAATATATATCGCAAAGTATAAAATAAAATGCAAATAGCAAATAATAACATCATTAGACACCAGGCCCCTACCTGTTTTTATTGTTATTATTTTTTAATTTTCATTCCTTATTTGATTATGCCTTTATGTTCTTTTCTGACTAATTTTATTTTATTTTTTCTTAAGAATAAAGCAATTCAATCATTTATCCATTTCTTTGTTTTTTAATTGGTGAGGCACCCCTCTCTCGCTTTGGTAAGTGAAGAAATCAATGCACCACTCTAGTCACAGAGGCTATTTCCTAAGTAACTGAGTAATGTAAAGTGTTTTATTTCTTGTCCTTGAAAGATAATAGGTGGTCATCGTGTTTTGATCATTCACTTGCATATTTGTGTTGTGTTGAATCGTTGAATCCGAAATTTTGATTGGGTTTGATTAAGTCTGAATTGGTGATCAGAAAAATATTAAGATATAATTAGAACTTTATATAATGTATACTAAAATAGAGGTTTATAGAGTGTGGATTTAGAAGAGACCCACGAAAATATTAGGTAGACTTAAAAAAATATATATATATATTAAAGGATTAGATAGACTTAAAAAGAATATATATATATATATATAT